TGGTTCGATAATGACTGCAAGAGGAAGCTTATTTGAGACGTTTATTAACAACTGAAATTTATAGACATCCAGCAGTGGTAGAAATGCTGAAATTTTCTTATCATTAACAATTAAATAAAGACGAAGATATTACCAGTAAGTTTAAAAGTAAGTGTTTGATTTTGGAATTCGATTTTTAGGACACCGCGACGCATGTTCTGTCTGATGTGTATCTAATCAATCGATACCGTAATCGGCAATCACTATAAATATGCGGACAAGACCCAACCTCTGTATTTAGTAACACTTTCACTAAGTCAAATAAAGAATGTTCATTGTATGTGGCTGCAAATAGCTGTTAAATGGAAATAATACATAGATGATTGTTACAAAAGAATAGTACGTTGATTGACCATAAGCGTAATATATGTTCTGGATGGTAACCTATTGGAAAATACAAAAAAGAACAAATGCAAATCCTTAATTGAATATCATTTATTGTACATCAATGCATTATCATACACATCGAATGGACACTCACTTGCAAAAGTCTTGCACCCCCCATGCATACGTTTAATTTATACAAAATTGTTTTATTGGTAAATAAAACGGGACAATTGGGACTCTTTAATCCCGTGCGCTTTTGTAGCATCACTTTATCCCCACCCCCGTTACAGAGGTATATCAGCGACAGTAACAGCTGAAGAACCAATAATCGCAGAGTTATCTTTCATACTTACCTTGATGCGTTTTACAACGTTCACCGCAGATTTGAACGAAATTTCGAGCAACACTTCTAATAATTTGCAGTTTATATACCCAGACAATTTTTCAATTGATATTATATATATACAGGGTGTCCCAAAAGTAATGGCACAAAACAATAGTTATTTGGAGACATCTACCATCGATTAGGGGAAACTGGTGGCTTTAGGACCATAGTTAATATTTTGGGACGTCCGAAAATTTCAACTCCAGAACAAGTGGAAGACGTTCTGGTTCGTGTTGGAGAAAATCCAGAAATAAGCACAAGACGATTGGAAACTGCAACTGGCGTAAGCAAGTATTCAGTTCATATAATCATTCAGCAATAAAATCTCCATCTTTACCATTTTACGCCGGTATAGAATTTATTAGGACGATTTTACTAGAGCCGTTAATAATTAACTAAACCAACATTTTACGAATCGGTGGATAGATCGTAGAAGTTCTTGGGTCTGGCCGGCGCAAAGTCCTGACTTTTACCCATTAGATTTTTGTGTTTGGGGTTATGTAAAATCATTAGCGTATGATCAAACGGTAGACACCCGAGATGAGTTGTTAAATAAAATTATGAATACAGCCGAATAATTTCGAAATAAAAATATGTTTTTTAAAATTAGACGATCCCTCGATAAACGCATTTCTAAATGTACTGAAGTTAACGGGGCACATTTTGAGCAATTGCTGTAGAAAATTAATGTTTTATTATTAGCGATTACGATAAAAATATGCTACTGTTAAAGAATGAAGTTTAGTAAATATTGATTCACTTAGATACTTATTGTGGCTTGTTTTTTGTAAATACTGCATTTTGTGGTGTAATCGCAAATATCTCGGAAACAAAGGCTGGTTGGTACATCGACTAAGAATACCTTTTTTATACAAAATTAATAGGCGATTAGACCCAACCAGTTTAGAAATCAGAATACCGGGTGACCAAAAAGTTAAAACAATTTTTTGCCCAGATATCGCCGTAAGTGGTTTTTTCCACAAGTTGATCAAAATCTGATGATAAATTGTGATTTCTTATGCTCAAAAACCCCTGTGTACCAAATTTCGTTAAAATATGCAGCTCCGTTTACAGTAGAATGACGAGAAACTGAAATAAAAATGCAACTTTGACGCCCTGTATGTCGGCAACCGTCAACTTTTGGACTAAGTTAAGTTGTATTAAATCATCACATTTTCAGCCCAGGAATCCACCATTTTGTTTTGTGCTATTACTTTTGGTATACCCTGTATAGCATGAATAGTCAATATCAATTCAGTTCATATGAACACCACATTTTCTTGAAAAGCTATTTATTACATAGCTGTCAGATACATTAAATACTACTAAGTACACTTTTAGATTTAAAAGATAATATTTCGAAACATCCAAAAATACAAATAGTATTAACGACTAACATAAGTAACACACTTATAGTATAATAAATAACAACACAAATAATTTTATAGGGTTGAAAACGACCTCTGCAGGATGGAAATTATTTCTTCAGTTTGATGTTAGTTTTTGTTTCCGCTGAAATAGTTTTCACTAAAAAAAGAAACATTCACTTGAATATTGCCATTCTACATTTTGATAACCAGATTGATTTTTAAATATAAACCAAATCAAAATTACGTATCAACATTTTAGAGTAAGCAGTTGTAAATCCATGTTTAGGTAGAGGAACAAACAAGTAAATCGGACAAAAAAGTCTAATAGCTGCCTATCCCATACTGGGTAACTCTACAATACTATACAATCCCATACTAATAACATACTGGCAAAATCATGAGTTGTCGTAGGGCTGCGCAAATGGCTTGGTGCGCGAACCCAACGGATCAGATTATCCTGCAGGAAACTCATACACAACTTCTAAATTGTGTGGCTGCTGTTCCTAGATATTCAGCTGGGAAAAAAGTCGATTTGAAGAGTTAGGAAAACAGTACCTAATTGTCATTGAAGATTTTAGCAGCAATTATTGCCGAATCAGAAAACAACCTACAGGCCAACTCAATCTGCACATTTTTATCAACAAAACCAAATGTATGACCATCGTGAAAGATTTGCTCAGATGTAAGCAAGTGGTGGAGGAAAATCTCATAGCACAGATGATGCAATTCAGATATCTAAGCAAAGACATATCAAGCATCCACGACCCAGTTAAAGACCTGAGGCTGAGGAACTACATTAACAAAGTCCGCGAAGACACCAACAAGACCCAACACATGCTAAGGGTGGACAAAATGAAAACACTGAGAACAATAGTGGGGAAAACAAAAACAGATATCAAAGAACAATGCAAAATACAAGATATTGTGGGATGGGGACGACAACGTAAGAGGTAGTGGTGACAACGTAAGTACAGTAGAATAGATGTCATAAGATGGGCCTACAAGATAAATATATTTCTAAAAAACAAGATCAGTTGGAATGCAAATACCTGTTGCTCCTTAAATATCAAAAGCTCAATTATCCATAGATCAATATAGAAAGAGACAATTAAATAGATTAAGGTATTTTGATTTTTATTGCTTTATGTTTATCCATGGTTACCGGAGTTTTTAATAATTACGAAGGAACAGGTATTTGCGCAATGTTAATTATGTAGAGTAGACTACCTTGAAAAACATTGTTGCCATCCTTCTCATCTAGTTTTTCGCAAATATCTGAGTTTTTAATAACATTTAATTGTTTTTACTATTTTTTCTGTACTGCCAAGACACCCCCAGACAACACCTCCAGAGGAATAAAGCCAATTTTCAATCACCCTATTATAAATAGGAAAAACATTTTGGCGGTAGTGGTAAAAAAAGCTTAGATATGAATCTGTGTGTTTGAAAAGAACCGCTTTGAAATGTGGACAACTCACAAGAGGTGTTCGAAGTTCTACCCCTATATTATTTTCGACTTCGGACTATTCGAATTAAGCGGCGCAAGAGAACAATGTAAGAATTTTTGCTATTCGATTCGCATCGCTGAATTCGATTGCTGTTGTTGTAAGCTTAAGGTAGTTAATAATTGACTGCTTACCATCCAGGAACATTAGCGGGATCATCACATCTAAAGGATTCTTCATTATACACGGTTTTGTTAGCGCAATATCCTTTCTGAGGTTGCACCCCATTCCTGAAAGTGTTGGAATTTAGAGTTGCAGAAATCAAATAGAAACGATAAGCATTCGCTTAAATATGCATGTCAAATTTACCTGCATATATAAAATTTGTCGCAGTCTTCAGGATGAGCGAACGTTGGATGAGGAAGCGTTCTGCCATCGGGACCTTGCACATTACCTGCATTTTGACATGTCAGCTATTTAAATTGCTATGTGTACACGAGTGAAGACAAATTATACCTTCGGGGCACGAAAATCCATCATCTAAAGAGTCTCTTTTGCTATTCGTACACTGACGACCACTGCTTTCTGGCCAAGCGCATGTGCTGGCAACATCGTCATAAATTAAGCCTAAGAATGAAAATATTCGGGTTACATACATGCTGTCTTGTTACTAGCAACTAAAAACTTTTGTATTTTTGAGGACAAGGAGCTTTATTTGCAATTTTTTAAGGTAACTGTTTTTTTAAAAAAAGGGTGAAAATGGTGTGGTAAAAAACTAAGAATGCCTTTGACATTTCTAAAAAAACTATTTCAAAAAATTGATCAAACTACTTGCATTTAAATAAAATAATGCTACAATGAAAATTTTAATTTTAGAAATTAATTTTTGGCATAAAATAAATATCTTTGCTAAACAATACAGTCCCTTGAAGATGTGCAAATTATATATTTTAAACCTATTCTATTGATAATTCATCATTTCAATTTTTTTGAAAAACAAAGCAGCAAACTTTCCTCGATATTTTTTGTGAAGCATCTCTATGCACATTATAAGGATCGTGGTTTTACCACGTATTGTAATACCCATATAAGAACAATTTCTAATTTACCTGGAGGACATGGCAATTCAATGGGTTTACCGTCAACACAGTTGAAGAATTTGTCGCACACTTGCGGATCATCATGTCGATAGAAGCCGTTTGCTCTTGGACATCCTTTGCTCGGTTTTGGTTCCTCTAAAATTGAAAATGTTAACTGATTCAGACTTTCCAGAAGCTAAAGACAGCGGTTTAGCAATTTGAAGTGTTTGTCAGACATTTCTTACGTGTATGGTAAAAACGAACTCTAATATACTGGATGGTCACTCTTACAATGTACACCATTGGGATCTCCTAAAGGCAACGAGATACAGAGTTGATCAAATGACGGAAATATTGAGCATTTTAATGTTTTTTTAAAGCCATACTGAAACTAAACCTAGATGTTATGGTTTTCGAACCATCCTGAAAAAACTGCAAACATGCATATTTAAAAAATATTTGCATCAAAAAAACTGTTAATCCAATTTTGATGAAACTTGGGCTACTTACATTTTTAACAAATGCCAGATTTATGGTAGCCAGATTTTTTTATTGGTGTCTAGTATTGCATAGTAACAGTCCACTTTGATTTCTCTACTTTTTATCGTACGAAATAGACAAAAATTAGCTTTTTAACGTGTAACGCACATGGTTAGAAAAGCAATATTCTATTCAAAAACAGCATTTTACAAGTTTTTATAGGAATCTGTCGTCAAGGTGACAAAGACATAAATAAAGTTGCGTTGTCAAGTTACTAATGTCATTCCTTTAACGTGCTGTACAATTATTTATGTGAATAATTTGCATTCCCAATTGTTATTATTCATTAACTTGACAACAGGGAAGAATGGTAAGATTCGGTACGTGAACGCCTCAATATGTATAATAGATACTTGCGCAATAATCGAAACTCTGTGTACGCAGCGCGAAACTATGAAGAGCTTTATCCCGAAAGACAGCAACCAAATAGAAATATTTTCCAGCATTTGTTTGTTCATCTAGAGCAGTTTGGAACATTGCAGAATTTAAGAAGAACCCGTGTCGTGAATGGTGATCTAAATGTGATTAATGTTTTGGCACAAGTCCATATCAATTCTGAATCGGAAGTCGACGGAAAATTGCTGGAGATTGCAATTTTTCAAAATCTGGGGTCCAGAAAATTCTCCAAAAACATAAATATCACGACTTTAAGTTTCCAGGAGACGATCAAAGAAGACTCGAATTTTGTCAGTGGTTTCAAATTCAACTGACGGAAGATGCTGCTTTCGCTACTAAAATACTATGGTCAGATGAAACCTTATTTACGAATAGTAGAATGTTCAACAGAAAAAAAAAAATTCTATGCGGTTCAGAATCCTCACTTAGTGCAGGAAGTGAGGCCACAAATTCGCTTTTCTGTTAATGTTTGGTGTGGTCTACTAGATAATAAACTCCTGAGACCTTACATTATACCTGATCGATTGAATGGTCCGACATACTTAAGTTTCCTCCAAAATGAGTTTGAGAAAATGGTAAATAATGTACCTCCACATAATGCGCGAATTGTTAGAGAATATTTAAACGAACGGTTTTGCCATACATGGATTGGAACTAATTTCATATGGGAAGCCGTGAAGGATAGACTTTATGATAAACCAGCTCGAAATATAGATTTTTTAAAGTAAAAACTTTGGAAACGTTTCAGTCTATTAAGGCAGAAAGCATTCGCGACCCAGTATTAAATATGAACAGAAGAACATAGCTTTGCATTGATCATAGAGGCGGTCACTTCGAACAATTTTTGTAAGATTACATGTGTAGCGTAATAAAGCAGGTTTTGTATGAAATAGTTAATTATTTCCCATAGGGACTTGATCCCATTGGAAAACTATCAAATTAATTTGCAAGTATAATATTAATCTTTAACCCAAGTGTGTCACGCCATTAAAAAGCTAATTTTTTTAACAATAAAAAGTCAGTATGGCGCCCATCAGAAAAATCAAAGTGGACTGTTACTATGCAATACTGGACACCAATAAAAAAAAATTGACCTACTATGAAAAGGGCATATATTGAAAATGTAAATAGCCCAAGTTTCATCAAAATCGGATTAATAGTTTTTTTGCTGTGAATATATTTTTAAATATACATGACATCTAGGTTTAATTTCAGTACGACTTTAAAAAAAGCACTAAAATGCTCAACATTTCCGTCATTTGATCAACTCTGTATCTCGTTGCGTTTACGAGATCTCAATGGTGTACATTGCAAGAGAGACCACCCTGTATAATGTGATTCCTATATGGTTACCCTATTTCGGATATACACGACAGTTAGTATTTCTTGCGGAACGTAATTTTCTTTGGCTCTTATTTTCGTTTACTGCGGATTGAAAATGTTTATATTTCTGTTTGACAATCTTTACCAGCATGTTCACCCCACGCTTATGACAGCACATCTTTTCCTGTCTGTAATGTATTGCTATATATGATCAAAGCTTGATTATTTGCGGCGCATACCGCAAACATGTTATTGCACATAAAGCTTAACTAAGTCAAAGTTCATTTTTAACAATCATTTAGCGTGACTTGGAGCAGCTAAGAAAATCCAGTGTTCTTTCACGGGGCTTCTACATTGCTTTTTATATATATATACAGGGTTACTCATTAGTGCGTCAAAGTGCGTTAGCGTTAGCAAACAATTTTGACCAGCAGATCCCATAACAAAGATCATGTCAACTAGTTCCGTTGTTTCGAAATTCATCTGTATTTATTTAACTATAA